GATGGAAAGAATAGAAAAATCTTTTAGATGTTCTTTTAATGATTAAGTTAAGGACCCCCTCTCAGAAAAAAACTTTTTGTCTTACATGCGATTTTGATCAAACTTTCAGCTTTCTCGCAGCTACAAAGATCAGGCTTGTGCATATTCTTATAAAATAAATTAAAATTCAAAGTGACAAAATTCAATTATTTGGTTCAACAAGGTGTTATGTTAATGCTCACTATCTCGAATCTAAACAATTTTTACTATGAACAAAAGAAATGAATTTGTACATAAAAACGTACTTGAATAATAGTGATTTCCATTATCATATAGTAAACATGAAAAAACACTTTTTGAAAAGGCTTTTATGTTTTATCAGTAACAAAGAAAAGAGACTGCGCCAAAGAGGTGGTAGACTAGTTCCGTCTTATGAAAACTTTTACATCCTTCAACCGGGCCCTACCATCATTAAATGAGAATTTGTTTCTGAAGATTGGAAGTAACATAATCGTTTATAAAATGGAATAAGTGCTATTGACCTGTTCGTAAATGGGGAACCACCTCTAACAACCAATAATTGACAATAACTTACGCCTCTTTCCATTAACTAATTTAAACACTTAGCTCACTTGAAACTAATATCTTCTGATCGGATTAATTTTGATTTTCGGTTACAATCGGAAAATTCACATTTTGAACAAGACTAATATTGTTGAGCTGTTGTAATGTGGTCAAAGAAATATTATCACAAAAATATCTTGATGAAAAATGTAACAATCTTATCCAGAAGGAAAAATTCAAAAAGAAAATGCAGAAAGCTTACATAAACCTGACAATTTTTATTTGTTGCCTTCAAGGGCCCCGCCCCTCACAATGAAATCTTTTTGTATCAAAATATCAATTTGGAGACAAGCACATGGAAAGATAGCCTGGAGTGTCTACTTAGAATCTGTATCGCTTTCGAACCTAGAACTGGTTTTCCGAGCAAATTTTCTAGAAGCCTTGAAAACCAGAGTATTCAAATAATAATTTTTTCTGACCAAAACAAGACGTTGCACAACTCTGTGTAGGCTTGCGTTCAAAAATTACAAGCATTTTCCTACATGTCCTAAAATAGACCGACCAATGCACAGTATTTTCTCTCAAAACACGTTTTTATTCAAATGTGCCCAGTGCGGGACACTTTTTTTAAATATACTTCAGGCTAGAGATCTCGGGTTGGTTTTATTTTAAACTAGACACCTAACTGCGTGGACTGACTGGACCAGATTTTTGAGTTAGGCCTTAGTTTTGTAGAAAATCAAGGATCTCCGGAAAATGCGAAAGGATTTTTTGGTTTTTGAAGATCTTGGACCTCTAGAAAATGAACAAAGATCTAAATCGAAAATCTGGTCCCATCTGTCCACGCAGTTAGGTGTCTAGTTTAACATAAAACCAACCCGAGATCTCTAGCTTGAAGTATATTTAAAAGAAGTGTCCCACAGTAGAGGATGGATTTTTGACCCTTGAACTCTGGAAAACCTCGGAACGGTAAGAGATAGCAAAGTAAAAAGTATTTCATAACCATACTTTGATATGGCAAGCATTTGCTGAAAGTTTGATCAAAATCGCATGTAAGACAAAAAGTTTTTTTCTGAGAGGGGGTCCTTAACTTAATCATTAAAAGAACATCTAAAAGATTTTTCTATTCTTTCCATCATTACATATTATCTATATTGAAATTGAAAAGTTTCATTAACAGATAAATATTTGACAATATTAATTGATTATTATATTTATTAAGAAAAGAACAAAAAATGAAATTAGATTTTAGATAAAGTTTTAGAATGTTAAGATCAATGTGTACATAATTTAGCGCCCATTGTGAAGCATATCGTCGATAGAACAATTCATCGTAAATAAATTAAGATTAAGTAAAAGTCTTAGCAAGGTTTTGATTATTAACAACATATTCTTGTTCCCATTGTGAAACATATGTTTTATAAAATGTTCCATCATCGTCAATATTTCCTTTTGCCATTATTTCTAAAACTTTTCTTTTATTTGACATGATTTAAATTTTTCAAGATTATTTCGTTCACAATAGTAAGCTTTAAGCTCATTATTTGAACAAACTATTTTCACTTGTTTTTTCCATATTTTAATTCTATCAAAACGATTAGAATCATTCTCAAGAACTTGAAAATAAATTGATTCTTTTGTTAATTGAATTAATTGACGAAGTATTGACATACATAAGGATAAAAGAGATGATTTTGCCATTTTTGTTCCATTTGACAAATATTTATCATTAAATTGACTTTCAATAAAAAAAAAATAAAGTAAAAAGATTTTCTTATTCATTTGGACAACATGTAGCTACAGCACGACATTGAAGTTCATAAGCTTGTTTATGTCAATTATCGGAAGGTGACTGAGTTTGAACAGAAAAATCTATGTACACGTCATACATTACATCTATACAAATCTATCAAAGGCGAAAACAATTTTATTATCGAGAGATTATCAAATTGTTTTAGGTTAGAATCAAATTATATCATTTTCTATTTAAATTTTAAATTAAATGAAATATTTTTTTAAAATAGATTTGTATGATGAAGAAGATCTTTATACATTTGTCAAACATTTCAGAGATAGAAATATTTTAATGAAGTACAAACGAATAAATCAAATTTGAATGATAGCCCAGTACATATCAGAGCTACGTATGGACTGGACTGAGATTTTTTGGATTTCATGGACTCGGACTGGACTGGACTAGACTTTTTTAGTCCATGGACTGGACTGGACTCCAAAATTTGAGTCCATACGGGCCGTTTGGAAGTTGGCTATGTAGTACATAGCCAACTTCATCACGACTTTTAGTTAATACTCATACTCAAAGAATTTAGTAGCAGAAACTGATTTTAAAATAGATTTCTTCAAGAAAAAAACAATAAGCCTCTGTGTGTGTGTGTAATCTAGATGAAATTTTAAATAAAAATGAATATATATTTTGACGGTTATTTGTTTTATCGTAAAATGATAATTATATCTTTTATTTTTATCTTCTCGATATCATGTCACTCTTAGTTAAAATCGATACTCAAATTAATTATATATTATCAATTATTATATGTCATATTTGCCGCTAGGACACACCATCATCAAATGTTTTTGTTCAAATCGTAAATGATTAACGCAAGACAAAAGCTATTTTCAAAGTCCACTATTTTAGCTAGTCGCTTTTCATGCATAATGTTGCAGTATGTTGCTCATAATTTCGTTTTGAATGCCCAACTCGTCGGCTACAGGGCAGACAGAAATTTGTCGATCACGCATTAGAATACGTTCCACGGCTTCAATATTTTCATCGGTGGTTGTGATCGATGTACGACCACTTCGTGGTGCATCTTCAAAGCCGCGTATTCGATCCTTAAATTCAGCCACCCATTTTGCAATGGTACACTGAAGCAGAATCGTTATAAACATCTTCCAGCTCCTTGATGATTTCGGTGGCATTCAGTCCTTTTTGGGTAAAAAACTTTATGACTGCTCGACATATCTGAAATATGAATAGTACTAAACGAAATACAATTCTAGATTTTATTCAAAAATCACTTATAATTGCAATTTAAGATTCTACGAGTACCATTGGTTATCACAGTGACGGCGCGAAGAGGTTGGGAGCATGGGGTGGAGGGGTAAATCCAAAAACATCCCTCAGGCTTCTCCGAAATTCGGAGTAAATCGTTCTTATCTTTTCTCAAACTACGAGTAAACCGTTCTTGATGTTTTGTTCAAAATCTGAGTAAATCACTCTCCGAGTTTCTCCGAAATGAGAGTAAATCGTTGTTATCTTTTCCCAAATTTGGGAGTAAATCGTTCATATTTTTTTCACAAATTGGGAGGAAAATTGACCAAATTTTTTAAAAAAGTATGCAGGATAACCCCTCCCAAATTCTTACTGGTATTTTATCAAAATCTTATAAGTGTCTTATAAGAATCGTACCGAACACTTATCACTTACGTGGGGAATCTTATAGCCAGTATGAAGACATGTTGTATACCGAAATAGTAAAGAATAATTCAGTTCGCCGCGAATGCAAATTTTCCATGATCTCCGTAAAAGAATTTGTTTCAGATGCCTGTATTAGTAAAAAACATAAAGCTATGTATCTGGAATTTTTGTCTATTTAGCCATGCAACAATCCCAAACTGGGACTCGCTGATCGGCATCGAACGGTTCGCTACCGAACGTGTTCGGATGAAGATTGCAAATATGATAGTTTACGTTTTTTTTCATGGGACATATCGGCGAGCGCTCTGTTGAGAAACTATTGAGACAAAGTACCATCATCCTTATAAATATTTTAGATCTTGACTAAAAGATGTCACTGGAGTCCTCATTGGAATAATTTATTTAAACTAAAAACTAAAAAAGTACAAATTCTCATATAGATCCACAGGTAACAGGGGTAATAGTAAAACATGAAGACACCCACAGACACCCACAGACACCCACAGACAGCTGCACAGACAGCACACATACAACCACAGACAGCCACAGACAGCCACAGACAGCTACACAGACATCCATACACAGACATCCATGGATGTCTGTGTAGCTGTCTGTGGCTGT